GTGTAGGGTTTCCTGCCTGGGCAGGGGGTTGGACTAGAAAACCTCCAAGGTCCCTTCCAACTCTGTTATTCTATTCTATTCTATTTATTAATAGTAATAATCTATTCATATTTGAGCGTGCCTAATCCTCAATTTATAACCGTCCGTTTAATGAATATTTTGCTTAACTCTTAAACTTCAGAAATGAATGCTACTGCCAGGGTAGAGCTGCAATGTAATATTAGGGCTGCTATTCCCAACCATGATTCTGTCAGGATTTTTACTATAATTCCAATAACACTTCCTTAATTTGCTTGCAATGGGTATTTCCTGCAGATAGAAATGTTTTTCTTGCATCTGCGATACGCTAAGAAAGTAGAGAAGATTTTGCATGTTCAAAGAGTGCTCTCTGCCCACTTGTGATTTGGCCAGTCAAATTAAGATTCAGGAGCTGTAATCCTCCATTTATTATTCCGAAATTCTCGCTGCCTGTTGCTTTGAGCTAACTTGTCTGTTGATGCTGCTCTTGCAGTGACTTTCGAAGAGAAAAATCCCTGCAGATGGAAACAGAGTTCACGACAAGAGTAAAATGAAATAATGCCTGTTACACAGTGGTGAAGTCCAAATTTTTTTACTACCGGTTCTGTGGGCGTGGCTTGGTGGGCATGGTGTGGCTTGGTGGGCGTGGTAGGGGAAGGATACTGCAAAATCTCCATTCCCACCCCACTCCAGGAGAAGGATACTGCAAAATCTCCATTCCCACCCCACTCCTGTGGGAAGGATATTGCAAAATCTTCATTCCCACCCCACTCTGGGGCCAGCCAGAGGTGGTTTTTGCCGGTTCTCCGAACTACTCAAAATTTCCGCTACCGGTTCTCCAGAACCTGTCAGAACCTGCTGGATTTCACCCCTACTCTTACAGCCGATACAAGCAACACAAAATTAACCAGTCGCTACACTTGAAGCAACGAGAGGCAGGATTTGGTTGTGCGTTCTGCACTTCATTGATATATGTATTTATTCATCCGTCCACTTACTGATTTTTCTATGGCCATCAATTCATCATGACTCTTAGCATCCAAACGAGAGCAATCACCAAAATAATAGATATCAAAACAAACAGAGCAAATTGGCAGCCAAGGATGCTAATTCTGGATCTCGCTCCAGAATCTAGTCCACTGCCTGTGAGAGAACGGCCAGGTTTTTGGGCCTTAAAAAGAAAAGCCAATAGGATTGGAGCCATCCAAACCACATCAGGATGGAGACCAAGCTGTTCCACAACCACAACAGTGCAAATGTTTGAAAAAGTCTTGAGGTAAACATGTTTTACTTCACATCTAACATATGGTCAACCATGTGCCAGAAGGTCTACCACGCAGAGAAGATGGCTTCTGGCAGTCCTTCCCATGTCCTCTTCTAACTGGATCGCCTCCATTTATCATTTTAATAGAGGCGACACAATCACCTATGCCAAAAGGAAATCTCTGGGATACATTTTGGATTAAAATTGGCAACTTCTTCCTTTAAGCAAAATCTGTTTGAAGGTATGGTAAGCCAGGATGGAAAGGGTAGCGGTTGGGCCAGAATCTGAAATTCAGAAAACTGTCCTTTTTTCTCTTTATTTCTGTCTCTCAAGCAGCAAGTTGGTGGGAAGGAGGCAGTTAGCTTTGATCAAAAGTCTGATTTTCAAAGGAGGTTGGAAGTTAAGCCAAGTGGACTCTGGATTGTCCACTTCTGATTCTCCAAAGCACAAGAGAACAATGCGAGAAGCAAGGATCACATGGCTTGAGTTCCTGAAAAGAAAAGGGGGCAGAGATGCTGTGAGTCCCTTGGTTTTATGCCCTCTCTGGCTTTGAACTTCCTGGGCCCCCAAAAGAGTATCCTGATTGGTTATCAGACTCCCAGGGGGTGGGGGTCTTAGCTGGCCTTGCTGGCTGATGTAATCTTCCGAGGTGCCATGTGGTGAGTTTCTGTTGCTAGATGGGTCCTATTGTGTTGCAGATGATGGTCCTTTGACAAAGGATTGGGTTTCTGCCTCTGGCCCATTGACAGAAGGTGGGGGGGGCAGGCAGGAAGGTGGGAGCTGCTTTGTCTTTAAAAAATGTTTCTCCATTTCTCATCCAGGGAAACATATTCTGCCTTTTTAATATTTCCCAAAATATTTCATTCTTCTAGGAAAGGGGTGGGTGCTAATTCCAATTCCTACAATTGGAAAGATGGTTTTTAATGGTGGACAGGACTACATGCAGGGGTGGGTTCTACTTATCTTTACTACCGGTTTGCATCGTGCATGTGCAGATCACCTATGATGACGTCCGGATCAGTGGGCGGAGCCTTTCCCATTTTACTTCCGGTTCTCGGGAACCGGTCTGAACCGGGGGCAACCCACCACTGACCACATGGTATTTGGTCCTGGGCAAAAAGCACATGGTTGAGAGAGAGACAGATTTATACCCTCTGTTGGGCTTTGAATTTGATCTTGTATTCTGATTGGTTGTCAGTCTCCCATGGGACCATGGAGGGACAACTCTGTAGGTTGTCTCTTGAGTCCCAAGCTTGGTTGACTCTTGCTGGGTGATGATGTAATGAAGGGGCTTTGGGCAATTCCTATTATGGCTCTGCTTGAAGGAGGTATTTATTTATTTATTTATTTACTTACTTACTTACTTACTTACTTACTTACTTACTTACTTACTTACTTACTTACTGGTTCGATTTATATGCCGCCCTTCTCCGGAGACTCAGGGCAGCTTACAATGCGTTGAGCAATAGCCTTCATACTTTTGTATATACCTGCTTAGTAGGGCTTTCGCCCCCCCCCAAACGGTGTTCTTTTTTATACAGTCAGCTTATTGCCCCCACAATCCGAGTCCTCATTTTACCTACCTCAGAAGGATGGGAGGCTGAGTCAACCTTGAGCCTGGTGAGATTTGAACTTGCAGTAATTGCAGGCAGCTGGCAGCTAAGTGCTACTTAACAGCACTTTAGTCTGCTGCGCCATCAAGGTAGATCTTTGTTATGTAGAACAGACTGGCCCAGGACTTAATGGCCCATTGACAAAGGTGTGTGGGGGATGAGTTTCTGCCTCCCCTTTAGGGGATCCTAAAATATCTCATTTTCCTAGGAGAGGGGTGGGTGCTAACTTCCTACGTTACATTTCATAATTTTATCGAGAGCAAAGGCTGCTCTTTGCAAACATGCATGCAAGCTGTCTTTTGGTCTTCACCTGCCGAGCACTAAGCAGATTTTTCCCCTGCATTCAACAAACATATGATCTTTTGTGATCCAGTCAACCCATCTAACAATCTTGGAGGTCTCTTTGTCACTGTTAAACATATTATAGCAGAAAACATTCCTTCAGGATGTTTCCCTGTCTCTCTTCATATGCTGAATTTCTCCCCTTAGTAAATCCCTGCCAGGAATTGAATGAAATGCCAAAGCTTTCAGCTGCTGTGCCATAGAAACAGCATTGAGCCTTCAGAATGAGTAATGGACCACAGCCGTTTCTTTGACAAATAGCTTAGTTTTATGTTCAGAAATCAAAAAAAAAAAAAAATCGGGAATGGAAGACGGTTTCATTGCGAGGGCTGAGTACATTCAAGATTTCAGAATTAAAACCTGATAACGTCTAATTACAGATTAACAGAGTTGGAAGGGACCTTGTAGGTCATCTAGTCCACCCCCCCCACCCCCCCAAGCAGGAGACTCTACACCATTTCTGACAGATGGCAGTCCAATCTCTTCTTGAAAGCCTTCAGTGATGAAGCTCCCACAACTTCCGAAGGCAACTTGTGTTCCATCGGTTGATTGCTCTCACTGTCAGAAAAATTCTCCTTATTTCCAGGTTGAATCTCTCCTTGTTCAGTTTTCCTTATCTGGCCTTTGGGTGTCTTGGAAAATAGCTTGACCCCCTCCTCTCTGTGGCAGCCCCTCAAATATTGGAAGATGCTATCCTGTCTCCTCTGGTCCTTCTCTTCACTAGACTAGCCAGCCTAGTTCCTGCAACCGTTCTTCATATGTTAATTGTGTCTTTGCTTATTAAAACTGTTCAAACGCAGAGGCTGTCTCTTTCTCATCAGCAGAAGGTCACCTGCTTTCCACCTCATGCTATGTTATACAGGTAGTCCTCGACTTACGACCACAATTGAACCCAAAATTTCTGTTGCTAAGCAAGACAGTTGTTAAGTGAATTTTGCCCCGTTTTACGACCTTTCTTACCCCAGTCGTTCACTTCGCAAGTTAGTCACACCATTGCAAAGTGAATCTGGCTTCCCCCCACCCTCCCCCTTGACTTGGTTTGTCAGTAAGTCGCAAACGGGGATCACGTGACCTCAGGAGGCTTCAACCGTCATAAATATGAAACCAGTTGCCAAGCGTCTGAATTTTGATTACGTGACCACGGGGATGCTGCAACGGTCGTAAGTGTGAAAAACAGTCATACATCACTTTCTTCAGTGCCGTTGTAACTTTTTAACATTCACAATCACAAATGAACTGTTATAAGTCAAAGACTACCCATAATGCTTCTTATAATGATGGAATGGCAACTATTATCGCTTTGTTCAGTAAACCACGGTTAGTAAAACTGTGACTTAATTAAGATGCATTCCCAACCGGTGACTTCTAAAATGATTCTTGCTGTGACACATGAGCCTCCTCTGAAAGCCAGGGGAGTGTATATGTTACGCTTGGCCCATCTTATTTTAATAAAGCATCATTTAAATCGATGTTGACGGGCTGGATTTTTTTTAACTGTTAACAAAGAGATTACACCAAAGAGGGTTGCCAACTTTGAAGATGTACGATAGCAATTAAAGCGAGTTCTCGGCGCTTCGCCGTACGTTTCCTCCTTCGGAAGACTTCCTCCTTCATTTGGGGATCGATTCGCCTCCTAAATCCTGAGTTGCTGCCAAGAAAGAACAAAAAAACATATTTAATGTCCGTAACTGTGTCTTTCTGGTTTTTGTCCTTGTTTGCTCTTTTGTTTCATTTTGTTTCTTTTTCTTGTTTTCCCCTCTCAGGAACTGAGAACAGAAGCAATCGGAAGACCTCTGGAGATCAACGAAACCGAGAAAGTGATGCGCATTGCCATCAAAGATATTTTGGTAAGGATGAGGGGGTTTTCAACGCAACGGCTTTGTTAGTCAGTAAGTTGCCTATTTTTTGCTGTATAGATCTGTCATGGCGAACCTATGGCATGCATGCCAGAGGTGGCACGCAGAGCCCTCTCTGTGGGCATGCATGCTGTCACCAGCTGCTCTTCTGGTTTCCGGTGCGCACATGCACACGGTTGGTCTTCACAACCATGCGACTAACTCAGGGGTCAGCAACCTACGGCTCTGGAGCTGCATGTGGCTCTTTCACCCCTCTGCTGCGGCTCCCTGTCACTCAAAATATGCGTCACAACTGCCAATGTGCGACACCTGCCGGCATGCAATTTATTGAGTTTTTTAACCCCCGGTAGGCCGACCATGGATAAATCCAAGAAAAGAAAAGTTTCAGAAGAAAACAGAACGTTTGATTCAACTACATATGCTAGTTTTGTGGCCGCTCAGGAAATAGTCAGGCACGGGAAGGGTTTTGTGGCTCCCGGTGTTTTCTTTTCTGTGGGAAATGGGTCCAAATGGCTCTTGGAGTGTTTAAGGTTGCAGACCCCTGGACTAACTTAACAAGTGCAGGGATTCACTTAGCAACCGTGGCAAGGATGGTTGTAAAATGGGGCAAGATTCACTGAACAAGTGTCTCGCTCAGGAACAGAAATATTGGGCTCAGTTGTGGCCGTAAATCGAGGACTACCTGTATTTGGACTTTTTTAAAGATGGTTTTCCCATATCTTCCTTCTCGAATTTACCTCAAGGAGCTTTTTCGTCTTTGTCTTTCTTACTCTTACCCACCTCACGTCCACCTATAAGTAGAGTCACAGGTGTCACTCTGTGTGGCCTGCAATAGAATTGGCAGCTCACCTCAGCTGCTTGTGATTCCTTCATACACACCCTCTTTTTTCCCCCTTTTTTCCCCCTTTTTTTGCAGGAGCAAGTCCAGAAAACCAACGACATGCTCAACAACGTGGCCGCTGATGAAGCCAGTTTGGAGGCCAAGATCGAAAAGAGGAAATCGGAGCTGGAGAGAAACCACAAGCGGCTGCAAACCCTGCAGAGCGTTCGGTAGGTGAGGAGCTGAGGAACCGTCGGTCCCTCCCAAGAGTTAATTGAAGGTTCATTGTCCTGCAGTGAGGTGGTAGCAGTTTGACCTCCCAGGGCTGCTGTAATGCCCGGCTTCCCCGATTCCTTCTAAGGTGCTCTCTGCAACGATGGGATGTTTTTTAATCATCCTTTTGCCTGGTCATGATAGATAGATAGAGAGATGGATGGATGGATGGATGGATGGATGGATGGATGGATGGATGGAGATGATAGATAGATAGAGGGAGGGAGGGAGGGAGGGAGATAGATAAATGGAGGGAGGGAGGGAGGGATAGATAGATGATATGGATGGATGGATGGATGGATGGAGATGATGGATAGAGGGAGGGAGGGAGATAGATGGAGGGAGGGAGGGAGGGATAGATAGATGATAGATGGATGGATGGATGGAGATGATGGATGGATGGATGGAGATAGATAGATAGATAGATAGATAGATAGATAGATAGATAGATAGATAGATGATGGAAGGAAGGAAGGAAGGATGGATGGATAGATAGATGGAGATGATAGATAGATGGAGGGAGATAGAGGGAGGGAGGGATAGATGATGGATGGATGGATGGAGATAGATGATATAGATAGACAGATAGATGATAGATAGATGATAGATAGATAGATAGATAGATAGATAGATAGATAGATAGATAGATAGACGGAGACAGGAAGACAGATAGATAGGATAGATAGATATAGATAGGTGTGTATATGCATGTATGTATGTGTGTGTATAGCATATGTATAAGTGTGTGCATGAATGTGAATGGGTGTATATATATATTTTCTTTTGAGAGTGGGCATCAGTATGAATCTGCTAGGATGCTCACAATAAAATATAACAATAAAGGTTATCTCATCTCACTTTATCTCATCTTATCTCTTATCTCTTGTTTTATCTTTTATCTTATCCTATCCTATCCTATCCTACCCTACCCTACCCTACCCTACCCTACCCTCTTTCCAGATGAACAAGCGTAGGCTACTCTAAGATTTACTCAATCATTTTGGCTTAAGCTTTCCATGGTAATGACTTTTAAACCCACCACAAATTATATATTTTTTATAAAAAAAAACATGGGATCTTTTCAGCAGGCAATTTCTTTTCAGCAGCTGATGGTACCCTGCAAACTCATTGAGGCTTCAGCTACAGACTTCATAACCCCCAGGAACTCCAGTCATGTTTCCTGCCCTTGGGACAGATCAGTCCTGATGTTGGGCAGTGAAGAATTGATGGGTGCTTGTCATCCAGGCTATATATTTTGAGGAGTCCTTGTTCTCTGAGTTGGTTGTTTTCTTGCAGAGGTTTCATTGCCCAAACTAGGTAACATCATCAGTGCTTCAGGTCAGGGGTTCCCAACCCCCAGGCCATGTCCTGGTTCTGGGACATGGCCTGTTTGGAATCAGGCCACACATGAAGTGGATGAGCACATGTATGTATTGTGGTCCACCAGGAGAGCTGGTCGCAGACTCAGACACTAAGGAGGTTGGGGAGGAACAAGGGCCAGTCCTGGAGTCTGGGGAAGGCTCTGATGAGGGCTCTGCATCGGAGGCAGAGGGGGGGCCAGGGCCATCTGACAGTTATCAGCTGTCTTCGGAGTCAGACATCAGTGGGGCAGAAGAACAGCTGGAGCCTGCACAAAGCTGCCAGGAGAAGGGAACAGCTAAGGAACAAGGGTCGACTCAGGAGTAAAGCCACAGGTCAACAGTGAATGGCCCCTCCCAGAGGGAATAAATAGGAGCAAAAGGGGAATGGAGTTTGTAGGAGACAATTAGTTCGCTTAATTGGTTCCTGATTCTCTGAGATTCCTTGCCAAGTTTTGAAGATATCGGCCAAGCCAGATAAGGTCTGTGACTGTGAATTCTCCCTTGAAAGACTTTGCTGGATGTGAATGAAAGGAATTCACAGTCACTTAATAAAAAGGGGTTTTTGTCAGGACAAGGAGTCTGCTTCCTGCTCTTGGGAAGCCTAGGTCAGAACAGTATGCAGCTCTGCTTGCACACATGCCTGCCACTCACACAGAACCCTCCCCTTCCCCCCCCCCAACTGGTCTGCCAAGCCAGAAATGTTGGGGACCGCAGCTCTAGGTAACATCCCAGCACCGATGATGTTACCTCATTTGGGGTAATGAAACATCTCCCAGCTAGTTATAACCAATAAATCATGATTAAATAAACCATGGCTTACTGCAATGTATGAACCCAGCATTTTTTTTTTTTTTTGTCCTTACCAGCCCAGCCTTTATGGATGAATATGAGAAAATTGAGGAGGAGTTGCAGAAACAATACAGCTGTTTCGTGGAGAAGTTTCGTAACTTGACACACCTGGAACAGCAGCTGGATGACCAGCACCGCATGGAGCAGGAGAGATTTGAGGTGAGCGTTTCTAAATACGGCTGTACTCGAACTGCTTCAGTCAGAATTTCTACCGTGCGTCTCCCTAAGCACCATTCTGTTATCTGCTGTTTGATCCTAATTATTGGATATGCTCAGTGCTGGAGCTTGATTCTGTATCCTCAGGGTACTGATTTTCATCTTTTCAGAAAACTGCCCTCTTTTCAAAGCATAGCCAAAGAGCCATAAAAATAAAATTATACGATACCTTTAAAAATCCCCACTTGGGTGATGAGAGACACTGTGAATAAATGGAAATATAGTAGAGTCATTTGTAATTGTGAGCCCTGTTTTTCCCAGCAATTATAGTAAAGTACATTGACCCATGCGCTGGACTCTAGTTGTGTAATTCATCTTTTTTTTATTTTTTTTAAAAAATGGCCTACAGACATTTTAAGGAATTATAGAAATGCTTTGGGAATGGGTAGGTTACCGTAATTATTTTACCTGTCCAAGCCAGTAACTTAACTTTCTGCAGTGAGATACCGTAACAGTAACAGAGTTGGAAGGGACCTTGGAGGTCATCTAGTCCAACCCCCTGCTCACGCAGGAGACCTATACTAGGGATTCGAACCACCGAACTGCCGACCTTTCTGATCGACGTTCAGTGTCTTAGCCCCTGAGCCACCTAGTCAGGGTAATACATCTTTGGCACATTAAACTTTGCCTAGTTGCATTTAAAAAAAACCCCTACATTCACAGCAATATCGAATAGAATAGAATTTTTTATTGGCCAGGTGAGATTAGACACACAAGGAATTTGTCTTGGTGCATATGCTCTCAGTGTACATAAAAAGAAAAAAATACATTTGTCAGAATCATAAGGTGGTGAGCCTCGGTGGTGCAGCGGACTAAAGTGCTGTTAAGTGCTAGCACTTAGCTACCAGCTGCCTGCAATTAGTGCAAGTTCGAATCTCACCAGGCTCAAGGTTGACTCAGCCTTCCATCCTTTCGAGGTAGGTAAATTGAGGACCCGGATTGTGGGGGCAATAAACTGACTTTGTATAGAACAACACCGCTTAGGGGGGCCCGAAAGCCCTAATAAGCAGGTATATACAAAAAAAAAAAAGTATGCAGGCTATTGCTGTAATGCATTGTAAGCCGCCCTGAGTCTACAGAGAAGGGCGGCATATAAATTAGACAAATTAAATAAATAAATAAATAAATAAATAAATAAATAAATAAATAAATAAATAAATAAATAAATAAATAAAGTACAACACTTAATGATAGTCATAGGGTACAAATAAGCAATCAAATCATACTAGGAAACAATCAATATAAATCGTAAGGTTACAGCAACAAGGTTACAGTCATAAGTGGAAGGAGATGGGTGATGGGAACGATGAGAAGATTAATAGTAGTGCAGCCTTAGTAAATAGTTTGACAGTGTTGAGGGAATGATTTGTTTAGCAGAGAGATGGCGTTCGGGAAAAAGCTGTCCTTGTGTCTAGTTGTTTGGTGTGCAGTGCTCTATAGCGTGGTTTTGAGGGTAGGAGTTGAAACAGTTTATGTCCAGGATGCGAGGGGTCTGTAAATATTTTCCCAACCCTCTTTTTGACTCGTGTAGTATACAGGTCCTCAGTGGAAGGCAGGTTGGTAGCCATTGTTTTTTCTGCAGTTCTAATTATATTCTAAATATATAATAATATATTCCTTTATAAACTAAGGAAACTACTACTCTTAATCTTACACGAGTGTACATTTACTTTTAGCTTTCCATGTGGGAATCATAGATAGAAAATCACACACGGGCACAAAATACAGACTTTTAATACATTTATATTGTATTCTTATATAAACAGATGTCCTTAATTCTTATTATAATGAGTTGGTCTATAATATGCTTGTTTTCTTTAGTTGAGTTTAGTTGAGTTAAATTGACTTTACCTATTCTGTTCTTGTGGTTTTCTTCTACATTAGTTGTAACTTTATAAATCAATACATTTATAGAATAAATCAATACATTTATAGAAGAATTTTGCAATTAAAAGTTCAGGTGTCTTCTTCAAAGAACTTAAAGGCACTTTGGAATCTTCATCCCAGAATGTCTTTAAAATGTGGTTAGATGGCCATCTGTTTGAAAAAAATAGCTTTTTTCTTTTCTTTTCGCTGTACTAATTGCTTACCTTTTCAGCATATTTTCCAGAATTTTTTTACTGCCAATGTTGGGAAGTCATTTATTCCAGCCCTTTTTGGAACTGCACTACAGTCTTTTCTAATCATTATCTCCTTCTTCATATTAACAAAGAAATTAGAAATTAAATTGCAATCTTTGTAATGAACATTTACTTCTGATTTGCCTTTTCTTTTTTTCTTTTTCTTTTTTTTGCCGGTTTAGCAAACACTTTAGTAAACCTGGTGCAAAGAAAATAATATCCTCTGGCCTCTAATTTCTTGAGAGGATCAAGATACTTGGTTATGTGTTTGTTTTCCTGGAGTGTTTCAAAGAATTTTGCTTTTTTTTTTTAATCCTTGCCTGGGGGAGAAATGAATGTTTAAAAGGTGATCTACTTCTAATCTCTAAAACGCTTGGCAAACACAATGCTTTGTGTTCTTGGCTCTTATACCACAACTGGCGATAATGGATAGATTACATTTTTAATTGGAAAAGAAAATCAAAGATAGAGCAGATATTTTGTCATCGGAGACCCTCTGGATTACATACAACAAGCTTTTGAAAAGTTTCTCTTCCCATTTGTAAAAGACAATGAAAAGAAATTGCATTCAGTATTTTAAGTATGTAATCACGCCTATTCTTTTTTTGTTCTCTGTAGATTTTTTTTTTAAAAAAAACCAATGGTACAGAATAGGACTGCAGTGATTCATTTAACAACTGTGGCAAGAAAGGTCATAAAATGGAGCAGAACTCTCTTAACAATTGTCTCGCTTAGCAACAGAAATGTTGGGCTCAATTGTGGTTATAAATCAAGGACTATTTAGAGAATTTACATGGCCACCCACTCACTCTCAGAGACTTACAGAAAATGATATGTATATTGTATGATATATATGTTATCATGATATATGATATAAGTTAAGAAGGTATTTCTCGGAGTCTTCAGATATGACATCAACAGATGCCCCATAATGTTGCATTGAAGGCGCTAATGCTCAGCTCCATCCAGTTGTCCCAATTCTACCCCAAATTAAAAAATTACAGGATTGTAAAAAGGGAGTTGCATTGAGGGCTCTGAGTTAGAACCAGGGGTTGGCCTCAAAAATTTTAGCAAGGGGTTCTCTGCCTGGTTGCTGGGTGGGCATGGCCATGGTAGGCATGGCGTAATCAGCCTCCATGGGAGGTGGGTGTTTTTGCCCTCCCCGGGCTCTGGAGGCTTTCCTTGAGCCGCCTGTAGGGCGAAAACAGCCTCCCCAGGCTCCGCAGGCCCTCTGGAGGCTGGAAACGGGCTTCCTGAACTTCCGGTAGGCCCGTTTTTCACCCTCTCCAAGCCTCCATGTGCACTCTGTACTTACCTGCATCCAAAATGGGTGCATCCAAACATTTTGGGCACAAAGCATCTGACAACTGAGCTGGAGGTTGGCAAACCCTCTGTAGGTGATCGTATTATTCCAGCTCAGCTTCCTGAAGCGACTGGGTAACAGTCAGTCGCAATTTTAACCTCCTTGTTTCCTTTATTAATGTGGACATCTCTCATTAAACCTCTCCCCGATTAAGGGCTGGTTCTGCAAATTAGCAGTGGGTGAGGCTAATGAGGAAAATAAATCATCTCTAGGTGAGGAAATGGTTGAAAATGTCAGGGTTAGATGGAGCAAGAATGGTTTCTCGTTGAGGACCAAGCAGGCTTTTGAGTAGGACCTCTATCATAGATCCAGAGATGCTATGGGAGATACCAGGAGTGGGCTTCAAAAATTTTAGCAAGGGGTTCTCTGCCCGGTTGCTGGGTGGATGTGACCATGGTGGACGTGGCCTAGTCAACCTCCTGCACCACGGCGGGGCGGGGGTGTTTTTGCCCTACCCGGGTTCTGGAGGATTTCCTAGAGCCTCCAGGAGGGTGAAAACAGCCTCCCCAGGCTCCGGAGGCCCTCTGGAGGCCAGAAACAGGCCTCCAGGGTGCCCTGCACTTACCTGCACCCAAAACGGTCCGTGTGGGGACTCCTGGGAGGGGCAGGGCAGGCGGGGCCATCCAGGAGTGGGATTTGGGGGGGTTCTCCAAACTGCACAGAATCGTAGCTAGAGGTTCTCCCAAACCCCTACGAACCCCCTAACAGCCCACCCCTGGTTAGAACCAGTGGAAACAAGGCACATAAAATAAGACCTTCTAATTCTGGTGTTCGCTATTCCCTCTCCCACCCTAACTCCTCGTCAGCCTGTCCCAGATGCACAGATGCCGCTGCCGATATGCGTGAAGACAACGGTGACACCCTAAACTAGTAAGATTTCTCTTAGCTGGCTCTCAGAAGCCCCATCTGTGAAACTTAGTCCTCCGTCAGGATTAATTTGCCTGGCAAACTTTTTCAAGCGTTGCAAAATGTTCCTGTGCGTTTTCATCCCACGAACTCATCCGCGTCTCCCTATAAAAGCCCGTGCATTCAACCAGCTCTCCAAAGTAAACTAAGGCACTAGAACTTTTAACGCATCAGGAGAATAGCAAATGAGCCTTTATTGAATCATTACAATTCATACTTTCCACCAGCTCCAGAGAGAAAAGTAAGCAAATAAATAGGAGGACCTGTTGAAGTCATTTCGGATACAATGGAAACACACTCGATTTTAATTGGAGATGTCCCTGATTGAAAAGCTTTGCAAAGAGTGGTCCGTTGGAAAAAAAAGGATCTATTATGAAGAAACGTACACTGGTAACACATCGTAGTCCCTTAATGATTCTTTTTAAAACAACAACATCAACAAACGACAACAGTGTGGTTTCCTGATCTCAGTTACCAGCATTTACATCTTGTTCCCATCCCTGTTGACCTTCTTTCCCAGACATAATTTTAAATTTAAAGCTCTTTGTGTCCGAAGATACATTATGTTCAAGCAGCAGCAACAACAACAAAAAGATAAACTCTTGTGAGTTAGAATTTGGCATTTCCGTTTTCTTCTTCCGTGGACTCTGTGCTTGTCGCTGTTCAGTTCTTGCATAAGATTAAATGTTTCTTGCTGCTGGCATGTCAAATGAGAAGGATTGTGAAAACTAAAGGCCCTTCTGGATTGAACTGTGAGGATACGAAGAGTATCTCTGGAATGTGTAGGGGAGGGGTCTGCAACCTTAAATACTCAAAGAACCATTTGGACCCGTTTCCCACAGAAAAGAAAACACCGGGAGCCACAAAACCTGGGTGGGCTCAACCGATCATCAGAGCTATCGGTTCTCCTGAACCGGTCCGAACCGGTAGAATCCCACCCCTGGGCACACCCAGACACAAAACAAAAGGAAGGGGAACCACTCAATCTTACTGCCATGGCTTATAACATTGATTCTGAAGTTAATTTTAGTTGTGTCAAGTAGGGTGCTAAGGAGAAGGCCAATTTTTTGTTGAGCAGAAGGAACCCAAGGGAGCCCAGCTGTGAGAGGGATCTTGGAGTCTTAGTGAACAACCAATTAAATATGAGCCAGCAGTGTGCGGCAGCAGCCAAAAAAGCCAGTGCAATCCTCAGTTGCCTTAACAGAGGGATACAATCAAGATCAAGTGAGGTACTAATACCACTCTATAAAGTAAGACCACACCTAGAATACTGCATCCAGTTTTGGTCATCACACTATAAAAAAGATGTTGAGACTCTAGAAAGAGTGCAGAGAAGAGCAACAAAGTGGATTAGAGGACTGGAGGCTAAAACATATGAAGAACGGTTGCAGGAACTGAGCATGTCTAGTTTAATGAAAAGAAGGACTAGGGGAGACATGATAGCAGTCTTTCAATATCTCAGGGGCTGCCACAAAGAAGAGGGAGTCACAACCCCATGTTTAACTGCAAGCACAAATAGTCAGAATCAGCAAGGACTCTACATCTGTCTCCTTGATTTTCACCCCTTGTCCTATAGGCAGAAAAGAAGGAGTCAAAGACAGGGATGATTAGGGGACTGGAGCCTAAAACATACAATGAACGGTTGCAGGAACTGGGCATGGCTAGTCTAGTGAAGAGAAGGACCAGGAGAGACATGATAGCAGTCTTCCAATATTTGAGGGGCTGCCACAGAGAGGAGGGGGACAAGCTATTCTCCAAGGCACCTGAAGGCCAGACAAGGAATAATGGATGGAAACTGATCAAGGAAAGATTCAACCTGGAAATAAGGAGAAATTTTCTGACAGTGAGAGCAATCAACCCGTGGAACAGAAGTTGCTTTCGGAAGTTGTGGGTGCTTCATCCCTGGAGGCTTTCAAGAAGAGACTGGACTGCCATCTGTCAGAAATGGTGTAGGGTCTCCTGCTTGGATTAGATGACCTACAAGGTCCCTTCCAACTCTGTTAATCTGTAATCTGTAAGGAGCCACAGCTTCTGTAAATTGGAAGAACCGAACAAGGCAATGCGACTTTATGGATGTGTATGGATGTGACTTGAAGGCATCAGGACACCACTGCAGACTCACCAAAGTTGTGAAGGCAGCTTTGTAGGAACCCTACGGGATAAATAAGATTTGTGCATTGCAGGCCTTTGGTGTTGATCAACCTCATTAACTGGTGTTTTCTTCTGTTTATTCTGCAGCCGCCTTTGTTTTCAGCTTTTTAACCTCCTTTGGGAGATAGCTATTCAAACTCCAGTCTAATCCAACTTCCAGAATCTGCATTCTCCTTTTATAATTTTCTGTAAAATGATTTATTACCTCGGCGCTTCCAAGAGTTTTTTTTCTCTCCTCCCCCCTTCCCCCTCCTCAGCTTAAAGACTGAAGAGATGAGGTCTAGGATATTAAACAGGCTATTAATTAATACATGATCGATAGAAATAAATGAACGTTTTCATCCTGGCCCCGTCAACATACGGATTGGTAAAGATTCTTCGGCTTGATCGCCAGCTGGAAGCCCTCTGTGCTGCAAATTAAAGCAAGACCCAGATAGAAGGAAAACGGATAATATAATTTATACCAGAAACAATCTGGATGGTTCTTTTTCTCTCCTCCCCACCTCCAATACCTGGATCAGTTCTGCCCAGATTTGCCCCCCCCCCCGCGCAAACTTGCTTCATCCCGTGCACATCCGGTTCGCCTGTGTGCCTGCTTTCCACACAACCGCCCAGCCTTCCACGCATGCGCCCGGCCTCAAAAATGTCCCCCAATAGGACGGCATAGAGCTGGGGTGGGGGGGTGGGTCCACCCACGATTTCCGCAACCGGTTCGGGCGAACCGATCCGAACTGGCTGAATACCAGCTCTGCTGTGATCCCATCGCTTTGCAGAACATTAGGTTGGAAGCGGGGAGATGGTTGTGCTGACAGATTTCAGGATATTTCCTCCCCCCCCCCCCCCCCCGCGGCAAAAATGGACTTGCAAAGGCAAATGCCTGTGATGTGTGGAGCAGAGAACACACCGTTCCACTCGGCTTTTGCGCATCACGTTTGTTTATTTGCATATCGTCGCCATGCCATCAGAGATCAAAAGCTCGAACCGTGGGAACTATAGATCTGTTTTTCTTTCAATCACAGCTAAAGGTGAGCGCAATTGAGTCAAACATCCCCATTTAGGTCAGTCAAATTTTATTTTGTCAACCTGTCTGGCAAAAAAACACACAAAAAAACCCACAGCCTCCTATAAACCTTTTGCTAGGATCACATACCAAACCTCTGTAAAACATAAGAGAAGCAGTTGCAACCTTAAAAATTTGAATTATCCCTGGCAAAAATTCCTCGAATTTTTCCCTGTAAACTTCCATTCCCACAGCTAGAAAATGTGGCATTTTACAGCCGGGTAGGTTTCTTTGCTTGCAGGAAAGATAAATTGTATTCTCAATTAAGTCTCCCACTTCTCAGTCTGAGAGCTTACTTAGGGTATTATACAGAGGCTAATAGATGTTAAGTGCCCATCTGTTTCAAACCGTAAATCTGCTGCAAAGTGAATTTAATCAGTGATTCAAAGATGAACAGAAGAAAACAGAGGCATAAAAGATTTTTTTTTTAAGTTTGTTTTTCAGGCAAGAAGGGAATTTTTTTTAGTGGTCTTCTACTCCAGGAGACGTATGAGACACACAGGGTGGAAAGGGAACTGCCTATCCCAGTGGTCAGCAACCCGCGGCTCTGGAGCCGCATGTGGCTCTTTCATCCCTTTGCTGCAGCTCCATGTTGCTGGTCGGCTCCACAATTGATAGGGCTTTCGGTTAGGACAGGTAGAGGAAAAAGGATGTCACGCTAGGAGGAGACTCTATGGTGGTAGTGAAACTGTGCTAAAGGTCGGCAGAGGAAAAAAGGACGCTGTGCTAGGAGAAGACTATGGTGGAGGAACCGACTTCCAGTCGGCAGAGGGAAAAGGACACCGTGATAGGAGGAGACTCTATGGTGGGGGAACCGGACTTCCGGTCGGCTCCAGAATTGAACGGGGGCTTCCGGTTAGGACCTTTGTGGCTCTTTGAGTGTTTAAGGTTGCCGACCCCTGGCCTATCCTAATGAAGAGAAGGGTTAAGGGGGACATGATAGGTAACTTCTGGTACTCGAGGGGCTGTCTCAGAGAAGAGGGGATCACCCTGTTCTCCAAAGCACATGAGGCCAGGACAAGAAGCAATGGATGGAAACCACTCAAGGAGAGAAGCAACCTAGAACTAAGGAGCAATTTCTTGACAGTGAGAACAGTTAATCAGTGGAACAGCTTCCCTTCAGAAGTTGTGGGTGCTGCATCACTGGAGGTTTTCAAGAAGTCAAGGACAACCATTTGTTCAGAATGCTATAAGGACTCCTGCCTTGGGCAGGGGTTGGCCTAGAAGACCTCCAAGGTCCCTTCTATACCTACGATTCTACGTCTGTGTCTACCTGGGTTATAACTCTGTCCTTTACTGAAAGTGATGTAACGTATCAAAATGGTGTTGACAGCTGTCTTGTCACTAATTGCTGCCTCCGTGCTCGTCCTTCTTTTCATGAATTGCCAACTGTTTTTCCTTAACCTTTTGGAAGCGTCAGAATGACATTTCCGAATCACTGTCTTCCAGATGTTGCTACCTATCCTTCCGTGTGTCTTTGTGTGTGACCGTGAGCATGTGTGTGTGAGTGCGTTTAGGGCTAACACATATTTAATATGAAACTGCAGTTCTGCATAAGTATACAGAGCACTATAAAGCTATTTGGGGGGCTCTTTTTGAAGCTCAATCATTTAAAGATATTCCTTCCCTTTAAATGCTGGCAGTTATAGTGGTCGGTTGATCACGAAGCCAAGGGAATTATGGTATTCTAGCCACGAAGATAAAATATTTTCTCAGGTATCCCTGAAATAATAAAAATGGCATTTAATTGTCTCTCTAGTGTCTGAAGGGTTTTTTTCTCCTTCTTCTTAGGCTTAGTCAACATTCTTTCCTCACTACATTTGTAAGGTGTTTTTTTTTTTTTTAAATATTCTTTTTTTACGGTGGAAGCCGAGACCACATATCACAGTGTTGGCAAACCTTTTTGGCAACGAGTGCCGAAATGGGAGCACGCCGGGAAGACGATCTTCCGGTTTCCAACATGCATGCGCACATAAAAACCAGCTGGCTTTAACGGAAGAGCAACAGGCGACGGCTCGTGTGCCCGGAGAGATGGCTCTGCGTGCCACTTGCGGCACGCGTGCCATAGGTTCGCCATCACGGGCATATCAGTTCTCAATTTCTGGAACTAAGCTGTCTTTTCTCGCATCCTGGCTGCCTCCTAAGCCGAGGAATTCTCGAGCAGTGACCCTCCTGATTTTGATCTTCCCTTACAGGAAGCAGAAAACACCCTGCGGCTGATGCAGAATAAGCTGAAGGAGGAAGAGAAACGTTTGCTGAAGAGTGGAAGTAAGTTACTTTTTCACGCAGCAGGGGTTAGTCCTGTGGGCTTTGTCCACATCCAGTTTTGAATAAATTTTTCTGACCCAGGCATTCCCAAACCACGACACAAACTCCTTGTGCCAACTAAAACCCCTTTTTATTAAGTTACTGTGAATTTGTCATATTCACATCCAACAAAGTCTTTCAAGGGAGAATTCACAGTCACAGACCTTATCTGGCTTGGAGAGCTGCCAGGCCGATATCTTCAAAACTTGGCCAGGAGTCTCGGAGACTCACAAATCAATTAAGCGAACTAATTGTCTCCTACAAACTCCCCTCTCCTTTCGCTCCTCTTTTATTCCCTCTGCAAGGGGCCATTCATCGTCCACCTGTGGCTTTACTCCTGAGTCGGTCCTTGTTCCTTAGCTGTTCGCTTCCCCTGGCAGCTCTGTGCATGTGCACACTGGGAACAGGCTCCAGTTGTTCGTCTGCCTCACTGATGTCTGACTCTGAAGGCAACTGATAACTGTCAGACTGCCCTGGCCCCATCTCTGCTTCCGACGCAGAGCCCAGACGACAGAACTGGCCCATGTTTCTCCCCAAACCCCCTCAGTGTCCAAATCTGCTGCCAGCTTCACTGGCCACTGGAGGGCCACAACATAAATGGGCAAAACCAAAACAGCCCAATTGAATGGACCTTCGGAAGAGGTTGCTCTTAGTCACGACCAGCATAAGAACTAATTTCTTCAACCTCACATAAACACCCACCCACTAAATACAGTAAGTTTGTACTCCCTAGAACAGGGTTCAGCAACCTGCGGCTCCGGAGCCACATGCGGTGCTTTGGATCCTCTGCTGTGGCTCCCTGTCAGGTGATCCCACCACTGGCTGGCTCTTCCCTCCTAGTCACTCCTCGCCTGGCCTGAGAAGGTAAAGGCGACGGCAGGGGATGGAGAAGCGGCCAGGGCAGAGACAGAGAGATACAGAGAGAGGGGGAGAGAGAGAGACATAGAGAGAGGGAGGGGTGAGGAAGGGGAGAGAGAGATGTGTCAAAAGGATTTTGTGGTTCCTGGTGTTTTTTAACAACTGGTTCTCTGCCCTAATGACCGGCTGGATAGGCATGGCTAGGGGGGGTCATGTGACTTGTGGAAGTGAGTGACATCGAGTTGGCCACACCCACCCAGGTTTTGTGGCTCCTGGTGTTTTCTTTTCTGTGGGAAACGGGTCCAAATGGCTCTTTGAGTATTTAAGGTTGCAGGCCCCTGATTTAAGTAATCCAGGTTTATAGATGAGTCCACCAAAGTTGCTATTCACACAAAGTTGATCAAGTCCTGTTCTTGCAGGCCTAAACATTTGTGATGTAAAAGACCATGGTGAAAAGCTGCCTCTGTTCATTCTCATTCATTCATTCCCTCGATCTTTCATTTGATTTATTTCCTGCAAGGGACAGCATGAAATCTGGAATGAAAAATGGATAATCTCCTTTCTTCCTTGTCACCCTTTGGTCAGATCTCGCTCTGTTGGAACATCTCCTTTGGAGCAGGATATAATTAAGCTGGGCGTTGAAATATGTAACAGTATAAATTATTAACATAATAACTTTTGACTGGAAAAATTAGTGGTAGATTGGAATAATTTATTTGGGAGCTTCTGCCAACCGTTTTGACTCATTTTAAATAAGACGTCAGCAAAAACCGTGTGGATGATTCACCTGGGCGATTTTAATATTTGCCAAACAGAGTTAACTTGAATTGAACAGATGGTCTCCAGGGAAGCGATTAAGGAAATTAAGCCATATATTATCATTCTTGTTGATTTTCCATTGGCTTGTGGCTTTCCTCTATTCTATGCCTTTTTTTTTTTTCCTATGGTGCAGAAACTAAAGTCTGTACGCTGATAGTATCAGGATCACCTGGAGTGATAGAACAGCTTTGTGCACCCAGGTTTGGTCACCATCACGATACAAAAAAAGATGTGGAGGCTCTGGAAAGAGCACAGAGAAGAGCAACAAAGATGATCAGGGGACTGGAGGATAAAACATACGATGGCTGGTTGGGGGAATTGGGTACGTCTCATCTAGCGAAGAGAAGGACTAGGGTTGACATGATAGCAGTCTTCCAATAGTTGAGGGACTGTCAGAGAGAAGAGGGGGTCAACCTATTCTCCAAAGCACCTGAGGGCAGAACAAAAAGCAACCAATAGAAGCTTATCAAGGAGAGAAGCAACCTAGAACTAAAGAGAAATTTCCTGACAGTGAGAACAATTAACCAGTGGAACTCCTTGCCTCCAGAAGTTGTGGGTGCTCCATCACTGGAGGTTTTTAAGAAGAGTCTGGACAGCCATTTGTCCGGAATGGTATAGGATAGTGGTGGCGAGCCTTTTACTCACCGAGTGCCGAACAGGTATGTGCTTTGCGTGAGTGCAAGCTATCTGCACTAACCAGCGGCTCCCCCATGTGTTGCATGCACAATCACACCATCTGTGCATGCACGCAGGTTTTGTGTGGCTCCCCCATGTTCTGCACATGAAATCACACCATCTGTGCATGCGTGCAGTTTTCATGCGCAATGCACGTGCACGAATGCCATTACACATGTGCACGCTGCGTGCAAGTACTCACACGCATGTGCAAACATGCACACATATGCAGGAGAGCTCCAAAGACCAGCTGGGTCCCCTGAATTGCTCGCATGCGCACTGGAGGCCCAAACACCAGCTGGGAGGTGCGTGCTTGCCCGGAAAGTTCACCTGTCCGGAAAGATGGCTCTGCGTGCTTCCTCTGCGTGCCCCCACAGAGAAGGCTCTCCCCCTGGGGGTCGCCAGTCGACATTGTTTGACCGACAGCACCCTGAGGAGTCCCTCTCTGTGGGAGCGTACTGGCTGGTGGGAGGCTATCGGTAGCAGAAGGCGATCTCGTAAGTACCCAAGTCCTAAGCCATGGAGCGCTCTAAAGATGGTAACCAACACCTTTAATCGCACCCGGAAGACCACTGTGAGCCAGTGCAGCTCGCGCAGGAGAGGTGTTACATGGGAGCGCCATGACGCTCCCATAATCACCCGCGCAGCCGCATTCTGGACCAGTTGGATCCTCCAGTGCTCTTCAAGGGGAGCCCCATGTAGAGAGCATTACAGTAGTCCGGACGGGAAGTGATGAGGGTGTTGGTAGGCCTAGAGGAGAAGAGGCAGACAGTGGACACATCAGCGATGAAATGCTACCGGTTTGGGTGAACTGGTAGTGATAAAAACTACCAGTTTGGGCGAACTGTTGGTTTAAAAAAACTACCAGTTCGTCTGAACCGGTATTTCCAACAATCAGCTGTGCCGCGCGATTTAGATTCACTAGAAAGCACGATTTCCTGCTTTCTAGCACTTTTCCCCTCCTCCCTGTTCTATTTACCTTCACAAGCCTCCTTTTTCCACACGAAGCACATGTTTGGCGCGTACTGTGCATGCGCACTCACGCAGCGTGCGTTTAGCACGCATTGCACATGCGCAGGCAGCGACCTGGTAGCAAACCAGGGAAGATTTCACCATTGGGACACGTTCAGAGTTCTTGCATTTTAAGAATGTTTGGTGGATTTCATCCCCATCACCTTAGGCCCGTGATGGCAAACCTATGGCACACGTGCCACAGGTGGCACACAGAGCCATATTGGTGAGCACGCAAGCTCAGCTCCAGCGTGCATGTGCGTGCCAGCCAGCTGATTTTTGGGTCTTCTGGGCCCACCTAGAAGCAGGGAAACAGGCTCTTTCTGGCCTCCGGAGGGCCTGGGGCAGGATGGGGATGGCCTGTTTTTTTGTTCTGTCCAGGCTCCAGAGCCTTTCTAGGAGCCTGGGGAGGGCAAAAACAGCCTTCCCCACCCCCTTGGAGGCCCTCCGGAGGCCGGAAACGGCCCATTTGCCTACTTCTGGTGGGACCAGAAGGCCCATTTTTTTGCTCTCCCAAGGCTCCAGAGCCTTTCTAGGAGCCTGAGGAGAGCAAAAAACAGGCCTTCTGGTCCCACCGGAAGTCGGCAAACAGGCCATTTCCGGCCTCCGGAAGGGTTGCGAAAGCCGTTTTCATCCTCCCCAGACTCCTAGAAAGCCTCTGGAGCCTGGGGAGGGCGAAAAACGGTCCTACCGGGCCCACCGGGCCATCACATGCCAAAAGCGGAGGGAGCGCAGGGGGTCGTGTGCGCATGCACGGGGGTCGGGGTGCATAGAATTATAGGTGTGAGTACGCACGCACACAACCCCCCCCCACACTCCCCCCGTTTTTGGCACGGGATGGCAAAAAGGTTAGCCATCACTGCCTTAGACTAACAGTCAAAAATGAGCCATTTGCCTAAGGCCACGAAATAAATTTCTGAGAGAAATGCAAAGGAAATCAGGCACATCAAGTGCTGGATTTGGAATTATCCCCCTAGTGAAATCATTATCTCGGCTCCCGCACAGCTCCTTCTTATCGCAGACATCCTGTCGAGTTGTTTATATGATAGCAAAATGCCGTAAGGAGGATCGGGGCAGGGGGCTCAGTTCCAGAGCTGGCCATTCAAAGGAACATCCCATAGATTTGGTAAAGAAATATTGGAAGCTTCAGGAAAGAGCAGTATCGGAGTACCAGTGCCCCACCATCCAAGGAAACAGGCTCTCTGGGTAAATGCAAAGCACATTTTGTTCTTTGCCAGAAGCAAAGAAAAAAGGACATATAGAATAGAATTCTTTATTGGCCAAGTGTGATTGGACACACAAGGAATTTGTCTTCGGTGCATAAGCACAGAGTGTACATAAAGTTATAGGTGATAAATCATGATCCTAGTCATCATAAAAATACATTTTCATCATAAACCATAAGATACACTTAGTGATAGTCGTTGGATACTAAATAAGCAATCAACATAAATCATACCAGGAAACTAAATTAAACAACATAAATCGTAAAGATACAAACAACGAAGTTATAGTCCTAAGTAGAAAAGGAAAGGTAAGAAGAAGAATAGTAATACTGCCTTACTAAACAGTTTGACAGTGTTGTGGGAATTAGTTGT